GACGGGGATCTCGGAGCCATTTGCGGTTCGTCCCATTCAGGAACCGCGTAAATGGTATGTTAATCGAGAATCGTAGGGCGACGCCGACAAAGGGCGTCGAGTCGGGGTGGAAAGTCACCCAAATCTTGGCCCCTCGACCCCTGAAATTGAATCACACTTTTCGAAATCCGTATTACCGTGCCCCGTCGACGTTTTGCCCAAAGAAACGCTTTCTACGACCTATCGGCGACGTCGGTCCAATACTTCATCAACTCGAGGTGGCATATTCGAAAACGCCGCCATCTTGATTTTTGATTCAGAAAGTGGAACGCGTCTTAACATCGATGAATCTCGTCGATGGCAAATTAGAGAGTAATAAAAATGTCTGAAATGCTCGACTGGAAATTCCACTCGTTGAGATAGTTCTTTCTATCCATAAACATTCGTGATTATACTCGAGTAAACAATAAAAATGGCTCGGATGCACGGGTCGAATCTAACGATTTGAAAAATCTGTCTCTCTATATAAATATACATATACATATAAAAATATGCGTCTCCATCCTCGAGTAAATAAAAATTAATTTTTATGCTCGGCTCGAATTAACCAGTTAAAATATTCCTCTCTGTACATAAATATGCGCCTCTACACTCGTTACGTCCTCCGTCCTCGGAACTCTTGGGCAATACACCGTTCCCGGAATATTCGCCGAAAACGTGTCGAATCAGAAAAGGGTTGATAGAGAGGGGAAGAAAAAGTCGCATAATTCGTCGCCGGCTTTGAATTCAAAGCCGACGCCGTCGATCGGAGGAGGAACGCGCGTGCAGGCGTGCGCGTGCATGGGAACGCGCACACGCGGACGAGGACGGAGGAAGCGAGATCGCGCCGTATGGTAATCACGCCTGCAATTGATTAGCCGCCAAAGACCGCGCCGACAAATTAGAAGAACGCTATCTCTGTCTGGTCTCCTGGGTCTCTTCGAGGACCTCTTCGTGGACGTCTTCGCGACGCCCAGATTATCCGGGGATGGTCTGTCGTCGTGTTGCGGGCGGGGGGAAGTGAGGTGTGGTGCATCCCCTGCATCCGAATGCGCCGCCGGCAGCCTTTGATGTGCACCGACCGCATTTCCTGCGGATCGATGAGAAAAAAGCAATTATCCGATTCCCTCGGTTGTCAACAATGATATGAAAAAAAAGAAATAAATACACTCGTTACATCCGCATTTATGGTTGACGTATCTCTGGCAGTACTGTAATAACGTTAAATAGGACGAGTTACAGATTTCGACGGGGAGATATCGCTCCGCCATTTTGTCCGCCTCGCCGGAATAGCCACTTGTAAATAACGCATATATGGATTATTTGTCTCTAGTTTTACTGGAATGTCGTTTAATAGGAGGAGTTATGGATTTAGACGTCACGTAGAGATTTCATTCCGCCATTGTGCCCGCGTAGCCGACCAAAAGAGCCGTCCACCCTAAATACCGGGAAGCGTCGTGACGCATACCGGCACCGGGGGCACAAAAGAATTGTGGAAACGTCAGATTTCCGGCGGGAACGTACAAATAATCCCGTCGAAGCTTCCGCACGCATCGGCGCACTCATAAATGCAGGACCCGCTCGAGCATGAGTTATGCTCGTCTCGATTCTCTCTGGGTCTCCGTAACCGAAGCGGCGGCCATCTTGTCTGCAGGCGTCCGCAACAGCCGCGACCCCCAGCCGCTAATATTTCCCATTAATTCCGTTGAAAACGGGGAAAACCCTTACCCCACATGCGCAAAACACCCCCGGACAATGGATACAACGATCGGAAACAAGATTCTACGTCACTCCGAGTTTCTTTTCTCACTGTGAGTATTTTCGCCGGGTCGAAGGGTTAGTTCGACGTGAATTTACGAGAGCCCAGAGTGGGCGGCCGACCGTAGGGGTAGCATTAAAATGTAGGAGGCATAAAGTATATTTGAAAGTTAAATACGACGTAAGTCACGTCTAGGTTAACCAGGCGTGAAGGATGGCTCGCAACTAGCGAGCTTTTCCCCGGAATTTCGAGAATTCCACATTCACCGGGTCCACGTTACATATTCCACGCCCGGGCGTAAAAACGGCTTTCGGCGTCGCTTTTCCATTTATTTCTAATGGAAGAGCGCAACCTCCTGCCGATTATTCTATTTAGCCGATTTTCCCCCAGCGATTTCTGGGGTCCCCCCCCTTTTTTTTAATCCTAGAAGCTGGATCGAAAGCGCTCGCTTTCGTGTCCGTGGATTTTCGAGGAATCCCAGAAACGCTGCGGAGTTTCTTTCTACGTCGTCCCCGAGGGGAGTCGGATTTTTACACTTCTCCCCGACATATCTCCCGACATTCCCGATGCGAATCGTTTGAACTTAAACGCGAGGTTGACTCGCTCGACGACGTCCTCGGGGATGGGCGTCGCCGCCGTCAATTTGACGAAGAGCCGACGGCTCTCCGTCGTGCCGCGGTATCCCGCGTCGGGCCAGATTAATTTCCGTATTAATAGCCGACATCTTCCCTTTTTGCGGGCCTTTTTTAGCCCCGGCCCGCTAATGGCGCGGTGACGCGGCGAGCCGTCTTCTTCGCTTCTTGCCCCGAGGGAGGAAACTCGCCGAGGAAATTCGCCCTCCACGTTAAACGCTGCTCGAGTGCTTAAGCTTAACCGCGGAAGACTCCATTACGACGTTGAAAAAGCACCGGGATAACGATGCCTCGGGAACGGTGCGCTAATGTACGCCCACGAGCATAAGGAACCACTCGGAAGAGGGTGTACTAAAATGGAAAAATACCCGCAAGTACGTTCCAGCCTTACTTTACAAATTGACGTAGTTGTACATACATGGCTCATGCAATAAATATTTCTCCCAGGTTTAGGGATTCCTTGGAGATGGCGTCAAAAACGATGACAGAGGATGAGCTGTTCTCCCTATGGATTTTTCTCACTCTGGACGACTGTGGAATTGTCTTCATTCTAGTTAATTAATTTTGTTGAACCAATTAATTAATAGGCATATACATATGCTTACATATTCAATAACTCACCTAGGTGGTAGATGACATCGAAAATACCTCCAGGGACGATGGGGTAGGGGGCCGTTCTCCCTTCCCAGGATTACTCCGTAATGGCCGCGGAATTATCTTCATCCTAGAGAATGACCGATAACGATATAATTGTGAGAATAAATATTTGCCGGGGGTCGGCAAAGGGGGAGAAGTCCTAGCTCCCTGTAAACACGGGGATCGGATCCGCCCTCGAATCCGGCGCGGGGTAAACCACCCGTAAAATGCGGAGGGGAGTTCGGCTGCGAATCCGAGGACGCAGCCGACTCTGGGACGTGATTATGCTAATGAAGTTATTCTATTGTAAGGCTGTTTACAACGAGGCGCGCATTAACGCGCCAGCAGTGGCGCCGAGACGAAAATCGAGCCAACGGACTCCACGGTTAAGGAGGTGGGACCGACCCCCCGCGAAGACATAACTGAGATTTCGAAATTAGTCAAATTGAAATTGCCGAGCATCCTTAAGGATCCCTCGCGACATTATTTAAACGACAGAATTCCCTGGTCTCGCAATGTAAATAATTTTTCTTACGGGATATTCCCACGCAACGGGTTTTTTTATAATAAATATAAATAATACCTTTCGCCGCAGTTTGGAATATATATCATAACGTGTATGGTTTTTCGCACGTCTTTAGATGTAAACGGTAGTAATGGTCGAAGTACTTTCTACGGTAAACAATTTCTTGATTAAAGGGCCTCATTTGAGGGCGATTCTCTGGGAGGCTGCTACGCCCTGGGTCGTCCCGCTTTTCCGTCCCTCTTCCCTTCAAAAGTCGAGTTAAACCTCGTGGGGTAGCGGCGTTAACAATGGGAACGCTAAAGCGAGCCGAGAATTCGCAATGCTTGTCATTCGTTCGCCGCTTTTCGAACGAGCCTCGCCTCGCGTTTTGACGTCGAGATCCCCGACGATCAAGGGATGAGAGCCGGCGAGAGGACGACGTACCCCAGGGGCTGTCCGTCACCGCTCGTCACGCCAATTATTTATGATAATGTCCTCGAGAATCATTTCAATCCAATGCAGTACACGCGCCGGGATTAATGCGGCCTTAAGTCAACCTCTAAAAGCCTCTCTCGACTGCCTCAAGAAGTCGCCTCAATCGGGCATTCCCATTCAGGAATTATTTTCATCCACGTCGGCGCACTCCACATGTCCTCTGAGTGTACCTACAACAATTGTTGATTCCTACTTTTACGGAGGAATTGAATATAAAATTTCAAAGGACCAATCATCGGATTTTGGAAGTTAATTCTCTAAAAGCCTCTCTCAACTGCCTCAAGAAGTCGCCTCAATCGAGCATTCCCATTCAGGAATTATTTTCACCCACGTCGCCGCACTCCACATTTCCTCCGAGTGTACCTACAACAATTGAAAGAAATTAATTCAACGTAAGCCGATTGGCCGAAAATGTTGATTCCTACTTTTACGGAGGGATTTAATATAACATTTCAAAGGATCGATTATCGGATCATGGAAGTTAATTCTCTAAAAGCCTCTCTCAACTGCCTCAAGAAGTCGCCTCAATCGGGCATTCCCATTCAGGAATTATTTTCATCCACGTCGGCGCACTCCACATTTCCTCCGAGTGTACCTACAACAATTGAAAGAAATTAATTCAACGTAAGCCGATTGGCCGAAAATGTTGATTCCTACTTTTACGGAGGGATTTAATATAAAATTTCAAAGGACCAATCATCGGATCTTGGAAGTTAATTCGATGCGGAGTCGGACGGTGACTTTTTGGAGGAATTCAATATCAAATGTCGAAAAATGGATTATCGGTTTTTGGCGCGAAGGTTGACCGAGGGATGCAGAATCGTCGGGCTATTAGAGGCTCCCCTGTTGGGGATTCTCTTTTTCGTCCCCTCGAGGTTTCGCTCGATCTACCCTCGAAGACCGCGAAAAATAATTTCGCGTTTCTTCCCCCCTGGCAGCGTGTCAAAGCGTGACAGCTCGGCTTTCAACGGCGCGAGTTGACCCGAGGGAATCGCGAGATAAAAAGAAATATTAAATGACCCTCTCCTCCTCCTTATCGCCAAAAACGTTATACGGTGAATTAGTGACGACCGCTTTATAAGTCTGAAAAGATATCGCAGTTAATTCCCACTTTTATAACACATTTCATTGGCGATTTTTATTTTTTTTTAATTCAATAAAGTTGGAAATTTAATCATTGCTTATCAGTGTTCCATGGGTAATGCGGATAAATTGGAGAACTTACCTTTCTTTCTTAACGTTGATAGTCACTGGTGGGTGCAGTTAAAGCTTGCGGCAACCGTAAATAGTTAGGGACCCTCAGCGAGATGCAAATTCATATTCATATGCCTATAACGTTTAGCATTGTCGCGTCGACTTTCCTGTTGGGGGTTGAGGGCTCCCCGATTTCTCTTGCGTAGGGGGATCGCGTTTACATCGTCCTCGAAATGCACCCCAACATTAGTCTTTCAATTGGCAGGCAGGGTAATCGATCCGAGCATAAATGTGCAATTTAGAATTACTCACAAGTCCCGGAACCACGGCCATGCACTTAAGGGGGTTGCATATCGTCCAACGATGTACACTGCAAAGGGGCGCCTCAATGGAACGGCATGAATAAATTAAATGATAATTTCAACGATCGACCGATGTTATTTTGAACGTTGGGCATGGCAGTGCCATCTTTCGGGATGTAGACATACTACTTGCGATCTGCTTTATCGAGACGGAGTTACCATCCGAGTATCATTTGAGTTTTACAAAAATGCAGTCTAGACTTATGTCAGGATGAGATCAATCGTTTTCTTCATGTATATTGGAAGACAAAAGCGAGCTGTAAAGTTAGAATATTATTAGCTATTTATTTTAAGCGTAATCACGGAGTATAAATATCATATATACATTTAGCGTAGAAAAAGTAATCCGGGCTCTCTAAGCATCGTGCCTCTTTATATCGGGTTTTTGTATTTTAATGTTCGGTTTCCGTAGGTGGTGATAATTCGGCAATACTTTGCTAAGAAAATCCAGCTGTCCAACTTGTGGCTGGAATGAAAACCGACGATATAAGGATGATCATTGTACTGAGTTTTAATTGAGTCGTGTTTAATGTAATACTGACGTAAGGCTTGTCGTTCATTTCTCTTCTTTGACCCTGGCTTCCAAATACGATGGTACTTTCAGGCACTGTTTCTGGTTCGGCGAGAATACAAGCTGCTCCGATCACGCAACCATTGGTGAGTTCGACTTCTCTCCCAACGTGCGCTGTGAAATAATTCTAATATTAATTCTGCGTCTAAAGTTTCTGGTTTAAAATAAATACCTTTAGTCTCCAAGATATTGTTGTCTCCAACTTTGTATGCTTCGCAGGTACTGTCAGACTCGAATACATTGTAGTTACCTATGATCAACACAGGTACAGTCGAAGATTGAGAGGCTTCTGGCGTTACCCTGTCATAATAGATTAAAACATTAAAATCGGAATGCTTACCATTTTTTAAAAAATGTACACTAACCGATTAACTATAGTTGCCATCTCCTCGATAATGTTCCCCTCTCCAATTATAATTGGTCCGGCTTCTGCAAGAATATTCGCCCTTGGGTGAATCACGGTCTTTGAACCGATCGTGATATCTCCCCTGAGTATACTCTCGTCACATACTATTGCACCTTCCACAATCTTGAGACTAAAAATGAAACAATGCGTGCAATGCAGTTACAAAGAATAAAACACTTATTTAATTGCGATTATTCATACTGACACAAAGTTATCATCATTTAAAGAGGGTGTATCTGTTGAACACCAAACCTAACCTCAATGTCGGTTGATGACACATGTGATACACGCAAGAAATATTGTAGTAAAGTAACTTCTACAAAATAAGGTAGCTAAAGAATTCGTAAGCTATTTACAGAGTAGAATTTCTTACTTGGAACGACGTGAGACGAGATTCACTCCTGACATTTCTACACGGAAATGACTTGGTTACGACAGCAATGGCTACGCCTGTAAAGTGGAGCCCTCTACAAAGAACGCTCGAAACTTAATCATCTTCTCTCTTCTAGTCGGTAATATCAGATTCTTTAATTATCACCCTCATTACGAACATTTGTTAATACAATTTAACTCGTTAACCCGATTCGTACAATGAAAATTAAATAATAATGGCTCTCGGTAACCACCAAGGTTATCCAACTCCGTCTCTGTCATTGTTTACAACGTACGGCATCGTTATACCTTAGAAATTCATTTTCGCACGTGTCGAATAATTCATTTATGCGCGGTCACAATGGCTTCGCTTTTAAAGAGTTCGTCCATCGACGCAATTGCAGTGGGAACTTATTGAACACTTACACCTGGCCGCATGCTCATAAGATATTTATGCCCGACTCTGAGGACGGTCTTACGAAATGCCGGTTACGTCGCCGTTTATTTTCACGACGAATGGGTCGTGTCCGTGTCGTCGCGACTTCTTAAGGACAAAACAATATTTCTTCCTGCAGGTGTTGCCACCTGCAAAGTAAGCCACGGGCGTTACAATACACGCTACAATCATTTATAGGTCGCCGAGACTTCGGAATACGCGACCACACAAAATGTCCTCCGCGTCCTTTCATAGAATAATATACGAATCATGAACATTACTATTTACCGTTAATATCACAAACGACGACTCAAAGCTGTGACTAATTGTTCCAATAATTACCATTGCATTGAATAATTTTACAGTGAAGGAACAGGAAACACACAATTTCTAGAAAAGCATTAGAAAGTATGAGAGTTGCGCCGCAGTGGGCAAAAGTTGGCCGCCATTTTTGTTGCCGCGGTGCACGTCGGGAAATCTATCGTTCCAGTTTTCACGCTTTATCCAGTGACTTTAAAGAAGAAACCGATGATACCTGGGTAATGTAAAAGCAGGGAGTGTATAATTTAAGGCCACAATCAATTTATTATCTTCTCTAGGCTTAAGAAGTGGCAGAGATTACAAAAGCTCGCCATGCCGGCGGACTCTTCACGACAACTCCTGCGAGAGCGTCAAGAACTACGCCTTATCGCGGCAATTAAAAGGAGTTATTTACGATCTCTTACCTCCACCTTTCTTCCAGCACCATTTTATTTTTTATTGCGGTAACCTATCGTTATCACGGCTCGCATATGCCGGTATATTTGCTGTCTGGTGCCGGAGGTATTATACCGAACCGGCGAACTCGGAGCAAGATGGCCGCCGCGAGGTTTGTCTTCGAAGCGTCACCTCGTAAACCGAGGACTCACATAATTGCACGGTAAGCCTGACAAAATTTCACTCTACGTTATACTCCTCGATTCGTTCTGTACCTTTTATTAATTCCACTTCGTTTATTGAGTAGGTTTTATCGAGTAAGGGGAGCCTCCTGAAAGAACAAAAGGAACGTTTGCGCGTAAAAGGAGAACGAGCTCGGGGCAAAGGGAAGAAAAAGGGCAACCGAGGGAACTGCCATGGCGAACTGCCTCTCCGTTCGATTTATGGTATTTAGAACGGTGCCCATAATGTGCACGCACAGCTCACAGGTGTACGTATAACAATGTGAGATAATACCGAGCACACGCACACTCGCATGAAGCATTCGTTACGCGGTTCTAATCAACGGAAAGGTCACTGTACTTGTACTCGATCCCTATGTTCGCAGATTGTCGTAGCGAGAATCCTACGAGGGAAAAACTGCCAACTAAAATCCGCTAGAATAAATTAAATACTATTCGAGCAGTATAAAATATTAATGAAATAACAGGTGATCGCATTCTTCGTCCGAATGTATTCTCGAGATTCTGGCATGATTTTAGGCTCTTCTTGAAGCACCGTTGATTACAACGCCGTCCACAAAGAGAGCAATTCCATGACAGTGTCAATAGTTACCATACTGTCGATGGATAGCTCTCTTCATAGCGCACGCCTTTTCTTGCTTTTGTATCTCCTTTTATTCGGTCTGCAGATTGTCAAAACCTTGAGCTGTAGTTGCTACGTCCCCTGAAAAAACATTTTACAGGGTTCAATAATAACATTTCATTCATCTTTGCCTAGTTTTCATATTCAAGAAGAACCAATTTCCGGCGGCGACTTTTATGCGCTGCGCCGCCACAAAATGGCCGACCTGCTCACAGCTGGCCGCGCTCACCTCGCGGTTTCTTCTCGTTAATTCTCGAGAATTACCGAACGATCGTTGCGTTTTGCATGTCAGAAATGCGATTTTCCCGAGTACAAAAGCAGTGAGCTACTCGGAGGCCTCGCTCGTTATCGTGGAGGTGCGAGCCATCTCCTCCGTTTAGCGCCCACCTGATTACGCAGCAAACATAACCTCACTTACAGGCCACGTGTTGCCTCGTGAACGGAATCGCTAACGTCCTCACTTCGGTGGCCATTTCCGTGAATGCCATGGAACGAGTTCATTCAGTGATTACGAGTAACTAGACTTGCTAAGTGCAAGCCCTCGAGTTCTTTCACAGGTTTCCAGTCTCGAGCGTAGACTGTTCCTTCACCTTTTATTTGGGAAGTCACAGAAGAGACGAAACTCGCTCGATTTGGTATAAGCCTGTTACGAAGCCGCTCCTAATGTGTGAACAAATAGGCTGAACTTTTCCCTCGACTGCTTGTACTTCGTATTTGCTCAGATGATATTTTCACCTGTTACGTGCAACTGCTTAAATAGGCCATCCCCTGGTTAAGCCTTACCTCCGATTAGTAATTCGAGTCGCTATAAAATAATTACAAGGGGCCATATCCGTCCATAAATCTTTCTCAAGATAATTCACAAGACAATAAGTCTTTCACGAAAATGAAATTAATATATGCGATAATTTCAAGCGAAGTCACACCCGATCAAAAAGTGGAGTCGAAGGAAGTTGAATTTAAAATCTTTCCTGAAATCCGGCAAAAATGGAGCGAAACTAATTAAAACGTTTCAGGTTTGTGATATTTCAAAGCGTGTCGTTGAACATTGTCCATAAATCTTTCACGAAAATGAAATTAATATATGCGATAATTTCAAGCGAAGTCACACCCGATCAAAAAGTGGAGTCGAAGGAACTTGAATTTAAAATCTCTCCTGAAATCCGGCAAAAATGGAGCGAAACTAATTAAAACGTTTCAGGTTTGTGATATTTCAAGGCGTGTCGTTGAGCATTGTACCTCGAATCTAGGAACGGTATTTCATTATCGACCGTCCGATATGATAACGCATCGATAACGCCTTTCCTCTTACAGGTATCTCCGAAAATTCGTCAAGGTACCCCTTCGCCTGTAATCCCTAAACTCGCGTCGAATGATGATCCGAAAGAACCCGAGAATGGATTTTAAATTTCCGTAGAAGACGAAAGGTGAAAAAGTGTCGAGGAACTTTGGGGTAAAGTCGAGAAGAAGAGACGGCCGGGTCGTTCACACCGCCTTGGGAGGACGTTGTCCTAAGGCCCTCCTTTTTATCTGCTTTTGTAAATATTATATAATACTTGGGGGAAAGGAACATCCCGGTTACCGCCTGCAACGGTGACACTAAATTTACACATGAAAAGGAGACCGAACGACGAATTCCTCGGGCATATGTATTGCCATGCGCCAGATAGTCACGTGTCCTCCACGCCCAAAGACGCCGCCATATTTCTTTCGCTATTCTAAAGAAAAAGAAAAAGAAAAAAGAGAAAGAAAGCTCGTTCGCCATTTTTTGCCCCTCGCTAAATAATCCAAATCGCCTACGTTCCCTCAATTCTCACAAAAAGCCATACAAAAATTGCTACACCCGATTCTCCTCAATTAAAATACCAAACACCCTGGATTAATGAAATTGTAAGCAATGATTATAAAGAAAAAAAAAAAAAAAATGTCAAGCTTAAGCCATAGAGCCTTAACGCGCCTCCAGAAAATTCCACTTCTCGATGCTGTAACTCGATCGAAAATCTAGCCGTTATCTCGCAATCCTTGATAAGAATTCGTCACCAGTCCAAGGTGCGATCCCGCGTTTGCCTTTCCCTATTCTCCTCCAGTTTGGGAAACGTCTCGCTAAGAATTTTCCATGGATAGAAGAGTGGGTGGAAATTCGAACTCGCGTTCACTCCACCATTTCTGCGGATTCACCTCGGGTGAGATAAAACCATTTGACGGGCCGCGATAGCTCAATAGATATTAAAATTAGGCTCCACTTTACCCCGACTTCGAAACCTCTGGGCGATGCCATCTCGAAAACGAAGAATAGGAAAAATTGGAATCGTAACGGGAAGCTCACTGCACTTTACGGGGCCTCGTGGTGGACGTTGCTTCCTGGTAAATCCTGAATAGGTCCGGTGATAGCGGTGATAAGTCTGACGGGGTCCGGTGGTTGGAGACGCTCTTCGGGACCTTCTCTCTAGGGTCTTCTGCCGGGTAAAAACGAGGACGAACAACGCGAAGTGCAAGAACAAGTGACGTGGACTTCTCTCCGCATGGTTCATATACCTGTGCCACCTGACGTCACGAGTACATTTCTTATCACCTGACACAAGGACTTGCGAAGGTGTGCGTCGCTCGTTGGAACATGCCTAATATACCGCCAGGGTGGGGAATTCTCCATGAGAGTTCTATGAACGATACGACTTCCTGTATGGACCTGGCCATATTGTGTCATTGTACATTTGTCGTTCCACTCCCCCTCTTGGCCCTCGCAAGTGTCCTTTTCAGGTCATTTTACCGCTTTGAGAGCCCACAAATGGGAATATACATTTTCTACCTTACCGTTACATTTATTCCCTGTTAAGGTAATTTTCACTCAATGAGCAAGATCAATTTGATAATCGCTTTGAATAGCATTTATTAAGGTGAAGTGAAACACGTCGAGGAACTTGATCGACGTCGATAAAGAAGATTTTTCTAAATGCCTACGTTGCCGACGTTCGTTTTTATATTGACAGCTGTGTCGAATTACATTGAATATTGCACCAAATGGCATACTACAACTGTCCTTTTCGTACAATAAATATCAAGAAATCGAAGTAAAACTCCAGAAATCCTCCGGATTCGTGCTTTCTGGGGCCCTAATTGACTGCGGAGGGACCCCCTGCGCCATCTCTGATTTCCAGGTTAATTAAATTTTCACTCCGAGACCTCGTATTCCCATCGTTTTGGCATAGAAGCGCATACAACACTTTTTTTGCCTTTATCCCGTTCAAATGGGAATTTATCGATTACCAGAGTGTTCTAAATTCTCGTAAAATTGTCCTGACCCTTTAGTTTCTCATATCAGAGCCTTCGATAATTATATATTGATCAAAATATGAGAGCTCGACGCCATTTTGGTTCTTGTCTTAGCTGAGTTAAAAAATGTTGTTCAAAAATCCAAATTTTCAACGTGTCAGGACAATTCTTAGATGATCAGGAGTGACGTGTCAAAGTTTCGGACAGTTTGGTCTTTCACCCTTAAAAAAAAGTGTTGTATTAGAATCGACTGATTTGAAGGGGGTTTCACTTCACCTTAAAACCCCACATATGGGTATCTACCTTCTCTACCTCACTGTTACATGCGAGACCATTTTATTTTCTAGAAAATACAAATTGTTAACCCCACGGTTCAGGCGTAGTTATAATCGACGCAGCGCCGATTACGATCTTTTACGAGCTCGAATTCGACCCCTCGAGTGTATCGTTTCAGGAGGAATAAAACGGACTTCTACGGTAGCGTTTTACGCACCGGGGAGACGTAGGTGTATAAAGTGCACGTTGCAATTTACGAAACGATGCATCGAGGGAGTGCCGATTTTAAAAAGCTGTCTCCCTCCAAGCATCGCACGATAAACCACATTTCTACAATGTAGTCACGCATAATTTCCCTTGCAGGAAATGTACATAAGCCGTGGTAATTATTGAAGTGTCTTTATTATTTGTTTATCGAAGTCCTCTCCATTGGTGACTTTTACAGAACGTCGGTCAATAGTCGTGGTACAATACTGACGAGAGTTTTCCGGTGTCACGCTGTTGGTCTTCCTAATTCTCGGAGGGAATTTACGGCGCAGGAACGAGAGCGTGATATCGCGACGTCGTAAACTAATTCCAGAGCAAACACGTTATATAAAAAGAAATTTCTAAGCGACGCCCACGCACGAGCGATGCACCTTATCGACGGAAGATCCTAATTACATCATCGGGCCTGCGATTACGGATCGCTAAAGAAAATTTAAGAGACTTTTCGAGCTCCACTTCCCTCCGCAGTTTTCCTTAGGTAGGATCCGGAGTTTCTCAGATAGTGACGGTGGAATGGCATCCTCCGGTCGGTAGCTTTCCCCTGAGAAGCGCAATTCATGTAACGTAGACGTTGATCTAACGGAAATGTTAAGATAAAAAATACCTGCAAGCTTCTTGAAAGGTCTTTCTGGTCTGATCCAGCATCACCTTGTAAGAAGCCAGATCGACGGCCTTCTCCTTGACAATGGTGGCGAGTCTGGTTTTAAGAGCGAGACACTCCTCCTGGAGAAACTCCAACCTGAGAGCAGCATTTTGAGATTAAAAATTACCCATCAGGAATTTTTTTTCTGATATACAGGTAAAGAAAAATCCGACCTGAAACGAGCTTGCTCGTTAAGATTTTCATTCGAGACCCCGGAAGTCGACTTCAAAGACCTGGACCGATATCCAGTGTTGACCTTGGCAATTCCCACTCGCTCCATCTCCAACTTTTGCAGCTTTGACTTCAGTTTAGCTGATCTGTTGCGCTCCAGTCGCAGCATCTCCTGGAACATAGGAGTTTATTTAAGATTAACAAAATATTGGGTAAAACGCGGGGGAGTTTCCTCTGGGAATCGGAAAGGTAAATAATTCTTTACCGATATTTCATCGGTATCGTTCCTCTCCTTATCTAGTCGGCGGTTTAGTACGGTAATCAGTTCCAGTAATCTCTCCCTTTCAGCTTCAGCTGCGATGCTCAGAGTGACGTATTCGTTCTGGTCTCTGCAGCTTCTTGCAGTGTTTACAGGACTTTCTCGAATTTCTCTTGTCATCTCATTGTAGACTTTCTGCGATTTGGTCACTCCGTGACTACTTCTGAAACGTAAAGTGATATCACGTGGAACAGCTAAGAAAGGTACACAAAAAAAACGATTTACAATTATCAGTTTTAAAATGCACCTTAATTTGCAGATTTCGATCTCACGTTCTTCGAGTCTCTTTCGAGTCTGCTCGAGGTTCAAACACGCGGCGTTCATATCGTTTCTGAGTCCTATGCATTCGTGCTCCAGTTTTTCCTTCTGATTTCGAAAATCCATCTCGCGATCCTGATACCGAGCTTCCAAAGCTCTTAATTGAGCCTAAAATGGTAATCCCATGGAATAAGAAATTCCTAAATTAAACCGGCATTAACTGACGTTTAAAGCGTCGATGAGCTGATCGTCGTGGGCCCTTTTCTCGTTCAACAGTATTATATTTCCTTTTGCATTGTTGAGGTCGTTTTCTAAAACTTTTATCCTGGCTTTCGAAGCGTCGAGCTTCCTCTTATATGTCTCCAAAGCGACTTCGGCTTGCCTCAGCTCTCTTGCTGAATTTTCTAGCTGCTGTCTCCTCTCCTTCTCCATATTGCAAAGATTCGATAAGTTTCTTTGCTCCATGGATGCTGAATTGTAGTAATTGTTTCTTTTTCAGAATTCTCTTACATCGAATCTGACTTTATTATGTAACGATGCATGATACCGGAGGATCCTTTTGGAGTTCTCTCGTATTTGTTCAACCTGGCTTGTAGATCGGAGACTTTTTGTTGCAATTGTTGTACTTGTTCGGCTCTACCTCTCCACCCACCTGGGTGATTGGACAGACTCGCTATTGTCACATTTTCTCCAACTTCGCTGCAGAGTAACTGAATCAGTTTATAATTAGTTAACGATTGATCATTCAGGAGATTTTGAATGTTCATTCAATATTTTGTAGAGTACCTTTTGTGCTTTATTAATTTCCTGTTTCAGCAAAGTGCAGGTGCTCCTAGTCTCGCATAATTTTGCATTCACCTGCTGAAGTTTCTCTTTAAGCTGCCTGATTTGGTCCTCCTTTAATAATAATTGTTCTTCCGATTCTCGTCTTTCTTAAGGGTAAGTCGAATTATGGATTACATTATTTTTTAAGATTTTCATGGTTCTAAAAACAACAGCCATTCAATTGGTTACCTTTGGCAGGATCCAAGTATTCTTGAGAATTTCCCTCAGGCCTGAACTTCATACTCTTCAATTCTGCTTCTTTGATTAATAATTTATTTTCCAAGGATTCGCATTTTGTTTTTAATACCTCGATCTCTGTCACTTGCTCTCTGTACTTTTGACTCATCTCCACGATTTTTAAAGTGGTCAATTCGCAACATTTTCCAATATCATGCGTGACCTCCGGAATGGATTCGCTTTGGGCTTTTTTTAATTCTTCTTCGGTCTTGTCCAAGGCACGACGTAGGCATGAATTCTTAAGTCTTAAATTCTTGACATCGTTCAATGAACTATGATTATTTATTGCAATTTAGCCGAGAATACATGGAATTGAATATTCATACCAGAGACTTACTTGAATCTGATCTCGAAGTGACTCGTTGAGTCCTCGAGGGAAAACAAAGTCTCCCGGTATTTCATCCTACAATTTATAATCAGTTAATACAGGAATGAGGACTAGTTTTTACAGAAATCATACGAAATAATTCGTACTTCAAAGAGATCTGTGAATTTTACGTTATCTTCAAAGGGAAACGAAGATTCTCGTGTTTTCAAGTCCGACATATCCGTATCCTTCGCTTTTGACATTTTGGTTGTAACCGTTGTAACAGAGTAGGAATATGTTTCATGCTCAAAATTAAAACACCGCCTACTGGTATCCTCTCTGCCAGTTTCGTGAATTCCGATCATTCCAATTACAATTGGAAACATCTCTGCATCTTATTACGTCATGAAACTAACCTTACATGCGTACTACACGTGAATATTTTCTCGGTCGATACAAGTCGAGACAGTTCTGGTTTTTGCCATTATAGCAAGCATAGCGCAGGGAGTGAAAGAACTGGCGAGAAGGTTCCCAAAAGCGCTCACAGATGGTGCCACTCCACGTCGTCAAAATTCAAAAGAGAAGTCATGAAAAGTCAAAGTTCTAACTGTCAGGCATTCTCCCGCCGACTTTCTAATTTTACTCACTTCTAATGAACTACGTGATTCGTAATATTTGTACCCCTAATTTAAGTAAGGTTATTTTTAATATTGACCTATAAGGAATGTAAATGAACGACTAGGAGGACACGACGAATTTCTCGGAGGTTTTATTTCCGAACGGACAATAAATATGCTCTTAACTCTCTAAGTCTTGTAGCGGCGATAAAAACGTTTGTAAAAAGTATCGAGTGAAATTCCGTATCTCTCTTTCTCTCCCGCAGGCACCTGTTCTCATTCACTCTCTCGTTCTCTCTCCCTAAGCGAATATATACACCGAGAGTAGAAATCTATACAGTAGGCACGTGGAGTCGCGAGGTCACCGGTTTTCGGTCATTTTCGACAGTGAACGAGGAACGCTATACCTTCGTGCTCCACTCGAGCTGCCTCGCAAATTATAAAGGTAATTTACATCATGACTATTTATACAATGACGGTACCGTTAATTAAGGCGATGCCATATATAAAGACGGTGTAACCCGACAGTGGATATATTAAATTTATCCATGGGTGGTTACATTGAGTTTACACCGGCGTTTTTGAGTCGCCTTAACCTCGCGTTCCGGAATAATGACAAGAATGACAAAAATGACATTGCTCCTAATTGTTTCAGCTCGTTACGAGTGGGTCACTATTCTTCCTCGAGCAGGGACAAGACGGGCAATGTTCGCAGAACGCCCCTTGAATTTGCGTACACACCGAACACAGAGGACACCATTTACATTTAGCCTTGTACAATAAGTGAGGCTTCATCTCAGGAAGTGATCCCTTAATACTAGTTGTCTTACGCCGTTAAACGTACTTCGAGTAGTCTTAAATCTAGCGAGTTTCTATAATCGCGCACCGAGTACCCACGGACAAGTACAATTGCACGGAAACGGGTTAACATTAACAGTGACTATGGACCAAAGTAAACGCACCACTGGCAATGTACAATCGATGGCAATTTGCAGTCCTAACAAACTGAGGAAAGAATATGTACAAATAATATACAACCGGCCGCGTGCATAGTTCATCGAAGTTCACGGTTAAGGTCAGTCATTTTTCATTTCTTATGAAAGGAAAGAAATCCTATCTCACGAGATGTCTATTTTTCGCAGAATATTTCCTGGATTATTGTAAGGGAGGTTATCACGAGGAATGTCGCTGTGCACGTCATGCATGGATCTTGCAAAACCCTGCCCAGGATCTAGGATGTATCTCGAGTCAGAATAGCGTACAACTATGGTAAGTGTATATGGAACGTTTCTCTAGGAAACATACACGCGCAGTCCTCTGAATTTAATCAAATATTAGAAATAATTTCAGGCCCCCCATTTGCGTGGGAATCGCCAAAAAAAAAAAAAAATACAGGGAAACTATTAATCAAGGGGCAATGTGAAACGTCAGAAGTCCACCATGACGAAGTTGAATCCACATGGGTTCCCTCGTCTCTCCGAAAACCCGACGACGGTAATTTTCAGGTCTCATTTACGAGAATTAGGTCGAGCAGCGAAACCTCCTCGCAAAGAGCGTGTCATGGTCAATGGGAAACATAATTTCTACCGTGAAGTCATTCCGGAAGGTTTGTTCTATCACGAGGAAGAAGCAGAAATCCTTCGCGGTCCTGATTCATCGGAAGTCCTTAAAAGCAGTCTCAAAACCGCGAGCTTAAAAAAAGGACGCACCATCATGGTCCCCTAAAAAGCTCTCCTCAACATCGAGAAAGATCAGCTCTAATCTTTGCAACATCGCCTGGTAAAAGCAATCCTTGCCCGCGATGCACTTCCGCGGTAAGTTCCTCACCGTAATTCTCGAAACCCCCTTAAAAGGATTCCCGACTTTCAGGAGCATTGCACACCGAGCCTGTGAATAAATACACTTCCTCCCGGAAGTTCCTTGCACTTCGCTGCAAATCATCGCACCGAGTTCCCAACCATGTCTAGCTACTTCGAGAGCTGGAGCTCTTCCATAAATGCAACACCGTGTTTGAACATTAAGGGACAGGGAAAGTTCCTTCCCATCGAGACTACTTCTCGCCCAAGAAACAATTCCCGTTAAAGCATCTCCCGACATGTCCAGGGATTAAAGCTAAGCTTCAAGACTCTTCTCTCTCACTCCCAGATGATCTGCATGTCGCTCTTAATCTCTCTCCTGCGCTATATACTGCGTCAAAGGAAAGAGACGCCATCAGGATGCTTCCCTCTGGACAGGATCGAAGCTCTCTCCTCCATCTGGATATTGACGTCACCGTCGGCACCGGAAGTGCCGACATTCGCTAATCCAGGCTGAAGATTAACATATCTGGGCGTCCGGTTGTTATCCGCGAAGGTTTTATCGAAGTCCTGGAAATTGAGGACATCTCGAGGCCCCAGCAAGGGCCTCGTGCTCTCAGGCTCGGAATTCCCTCCCAGGGGGTCCAATCCTTGTCCATCTTGGTCTTGCCCCGTTATGTCGAGCAGAGGAGGAACCGGCGAATCCAGAGAAGCAACGTCTGGAGATGTACGAGGGGTCCACGCAAGAGCCACCGAAAATTTCCTGATGTTCTCCGGAAGCTGCATCTCGAGCTGGCCCGTGTTCTCCAGCTGGACACTCGCAAGGGGCACGTCCAAGCATGGCGACAAAACTCGAGGATTCGTCGCCAGGAAGTCCACAATTTCAGGAGCCGTTGGACGCTTCGTGTAGTCCACCGTCCAGCAGGATCTGATCAGGTTCTCCCTGGGAAAAATTAATAATTCATAAGACACACTTCTTACGATACGTTTATATAGAACAGAGAAATATGAAAATGTACAAGAACAGGGTGATAGGAATTTAATATTAAAATGTTAAAATTTTGTTTCAGAGCCTGGGAATTTTTCATCGGATTCATCTCACTTGTATCGACCCGCTGGGTCTATACCATGCGGTATTAAAAATAGATTTTCGAAAACTGGTTCTTATTGCGGTACCGCCGTATTATTCATAGACCTGTGCTGGATAAAAATGGCCGCGTTCCAAAGCGTCGCCGGTCGAGTGAAAATAATCCCGTCGCTAATTGTAAGCCGGTGCGTGGGATGCATCGGTGCTCGTTATGCAACAATGGCGAAATAACGTGAAACTTGAAGAGCGGAGTTTCGCTCGCAATATGGTAATCGAATAGTGATATCCTAATTTTAAAAGTTAATTTTTGATGAATTCAAGGCACTTATTTATAACAAAGTTTATCAAAGTTTAATTTCTATATGAAATTAAGAACGACTTACAGCTGCATCCTCACGCCCTTAGGGACGACCAAGCAGTTCCCGGCTTTCACGTGAGCGAGGACCTGATTATTGCTCATGCCCTGGAAGGGAAAGCTGCCAAAAGTGATGATCTCATAAAGAAGCACTCCATAGGACCAGACATCCGAAGCCGGGGTGAAGATCCCCAAGCCAAGAGATTCCGGGGCCATCCATCTCACCGGCAGCATCCCTGCAGTACGAGAAGCTATGAACCATGATAAATTCCGCCCGGCAATGCGCCAGGACCAATTATTACCCTAATCATCGTGGAGAATTACCTTTCCTATTGAACTTGTAGTAATCGTTCTCGTACATGGGCCTGGTCATGCCGAAGTCTCCGAGTTTAACGACTCGCTGAGCGTTCACGAGGCAGTTCCTCGACGCCACGTCTCTAGAACAATTAGAAATCCGATATTTATGTAAGCGAAAGTACAATGTTAAGATAATATCGCACGAAGTGGAACGATCTTCACCTATGAACGTATTTCAGCTGCGCCAGGTAGCTGAGAGCTCTAGCGACGTCCAACGCCATGGCCGTCAGCTTCTTGTTGGAGATCTCATCGGAGTCTTCGTAGCTTTGGTCGTTGACGAGGTGTCTTCTGGCCAGCAAGTACGTCTTCAGGTCCCCGTATAGCATAAACTCCATGACGGTGAGCACGGGCTCGCACTTTATGCAAACGGCCAGCAGCTTGATGATGTTCTTGTGCTCGAAGCGCTTCATCACTTCGACTTCGCTCAGGAAATCGAGCTTCTCGTCCGTCGAGCTTCCGACTTTCAGGGTCTTCACGGCCACGGCGAGCCAGCCCTTGTCGGGGAAAAATGCTTCACCCCCGTAGACCGTGCCGAAAGCACCTTCGCCGAGCTTCCTGTTGATAACGACTCTTTCGCGAGGGATCTCCCATTTGTCTAATCCAGAAATGTCGGGCTGAAGAAGATCCAGACCCAGACTCTTCATGTACTTCTCGTGCAGCCGCACCTTCTCGTCGTACCTGGAATTAACGTAACATTTTATTACACCTAATAATAAATTAATTGTTAGGAGCCGTGAATTCTCTGGGGGAAAGTCTTCATATGTGCCCATAATTATGAAAGTGGTCTAAGTCAAAATTAAAAAAAAAAATGAGTTTATCAGTTATTTCACGCCATATTATTTCAAACGAAATTAATTCAATGTAATTTCGAAACAAAAAATATATGACTTAGACCACTTTCATAATTATGGGCACATATATGAATTATTTCCAGCTCCTTACTTCCTCTTCACGATGACGAACCCGACGATGAGGAAGGCCCCAAGGAGTCCAAAGCCAATGATGTTCGCGATGACGATGGCGACCTCGCAGGACACGTCCAGGAGTTCAGCGAGACCAGCAAGAACGCATCTCTGAGGTGGTTCCGATCCATCGTTCGGCATTTCCTGAGACAACCAGACAATCGCTGAGACGTTGAGGTCAAGAATTCCACCGATGACCTCGTTCCTGGTTTCCGAGATATTCGGGTGGAAGGTTCCCACTACTCTGGTCTCGTTGTCGACTCGCTGAAGCACCGTGATAACGGAAAACCTCGACGGACCCCCCAGGAACTTGATCCTGCCAGAAACCTGGAACAGGATTCAGTAGATTAATCATTACATACACCGATCTCGATATAGACGTTTTTTTTTCTTCTATTAATTAGACCGAGTCAGTGAACCGAGTCAATGCAATCGCATTCGGGAAAAGCGATCGAGACTCGAGAGCTAATCGATCATCTTAATAATTAATCCACGCTACTGTCTTACTTATTAGGCGTGTCCAGAAAGAATGCTCCCGTTAGGAAATGGCAACGCTAGAAATCCGACTCCGCACCTCGTGACGGATATTTTTCTTAAGGCGGCGAGAGATCTCTCCAAGGATATCTGTCCAGATCCTAATCGCGACCCGGCCAGAAAGCCTTCAATTACTTCGCAATCGCTTCGGTGGTACTTCTTGCGACTTTGTTGCTCAATAGTGGGTTTCCTTTTACCCAGATATGAGTCGATATTTCTCGACTTCCGGTTAAGCGCGTAGGCGCAAGTTGTCGATCGCTAATAGATTCGTCATGCGAAATAAGCCGGCGTGGCTTATGAATTGAAACACAACCTATGTCGCATAAGTCGAGCCAAATTAATATAACTTAATCTAAGTTAACGCATTAATCGCGTCCCATGGAATCGACCCAGTGCGAAGAAGTTCCGTGTATAAAAATGAACCGACCGGATTTAAAGTAGCAGAAAATGAACTCCGTGTTTGGCGCGTCAAGTCCCTCAAAATTCCACACCAATTAATAGAAATAAATTAACCCGTCGTTCCATGGGACGGACCCAAGTTGCGAAAACGCCGTATATTAAGAAATGACGCCGGGGAAATGTAAAACGCCAGGAAAGTGACTCCACGTTTAACGCGTCAACTATTCCGCGAAGCTTTGGCACGCGCTCGTTAATTCCGTCACCGCCCACCATGGCGCTGGAGTGACCTTAAACCTAGTTAGTCCGTTTAGCCGCGATACCAACCCCATTGAAGTCCGTCTCGCCGATGATGTCGGTCAATCGATTGACCGTCTGGTCAGAGTGGAGGTCAAAGACGTAGCTCTGATTCTCCTTGATCAATCTGTCCATCGCGTAGGCGTACGTCCACATGGCGTCATAAGCGTAGCCGGCGTAGGTCGAGGGCGTTTGGTTTTGCGCCCGACATAGATGTTCGTATCTGTCTCGCCACCGTCGAACGGTGATGCCTTCCTGGGTGACGGCGTCGTCCGGGGCGAAGGGTGCGTGCGAGAGTCCAAGATGGCCATTTATGGCGCTCATCATCTGCACGGTGGTGCACGGGACCTCTTCGCCTCGACGATTGTACTCGTCCGTGTCGTACCACCGAGGCCTCAGCCAAAGGGGCAGGAACCAGACGTAACCCTGGGGAATTGAATTATCGGCGCCCTGGAGATTAGCTTAGGTCGACCGCTGCACGCGGAGGCTCCCAATCACATCGATCTTATTAAAAGGGCAATTCCTATAAATATTATCAACACGTATAGAACACTTCTCGGGGTTAAATCACCTGGGTGGCGGTCATCTCCAGCTTGTGAGCCTGGCACATGACCTGCCTAGCGACCTCGTCGTAGACATCGGCGATGATGATCCTGGCTCGTTTCTGTTTCAGGTCCTGAAGATACTGGAAAATTGGAAACATCCCGCCGTTATGAGATTCCACCGAGGAGAGAAATGGGGAAGAGGAAGCGAGACGCTGAACCACCCACCCTGGTCATGACGTCGGTCTCCCTCTCCCTGGGGAACTTGATGTTGGCGATGAAGACGATTCCGTTGTCCCTGAGCATGTCCTGCATGTAGGAAATATACTCGGTGTATCTCTGTCCGTCTTCGGTAAGAGCAGCCACCCTCCTCCATCCAAGTCTCTGTAGAAGCTGCAGGTACACGTGCTTGTACTGTTTATTCTCCCCAATGGTCCTGAAGAAGTAGGGATACTTGCTCCTGTCGTTGAAGCTGGACCCCTCCGCACTGTAGCTGATGATAACCGTCTTGTAATGTTTAGACACCCCGACAAGCGGCTCCACGGTCTCCGAGCAAGCCGGCCCGAGGACGCCTACCAGTTTCTCGTAATAGTTGTGGACTATGTAGTCGATGAAGGACTTCATGACCATATCGGACTTGCACTGGCCATCGCTAGCCAGCAAGGTGAGATTGTAGTCCCTCAAGACGGAGTTGTTGACGTTGATGGCCTCCTTGGCCATCTTGGCAGCGATGACGATGGACTTCTCGGTATAGGACGTCCCGCTCATGGGGAAGATCCCCCCGACGATCAGGGTGTTCTTGTCGGCGTTGTTGGGCATCCACTTAGCCAGGGTGTAGTTCAGGTTCTCTTTGAGCCAATCGCAGGCGATCCGGTCCTCGGAGGCCTCACCGGAGAAATTGTTGAACCTAGCCACCAGGTCCTCGTACATGTCCCCAGTGAATTTAACCCGATTGATGGCCTCGTATGCGAACTTCGCCACCGACTCCAGCCTGGCCCAGGCCAACTTCACCAGGCGACTCGACTCGAAGTGGCAGCTCGACTTGGAGCCAAACTTGGCGCTGCACTTTGGGAACACCAGGGAGACGAATTCCCGATCACTGGGAACGACACTGCTAGGAGTCCAGTGCAAAAGAACCAGGGATTTGCCCGAAGAGGCCCCAGAGTCCTGCAGGTACTCCTTGGTCAGGGATTTAACCAGGTGCTTCAAGTTTGGACCCACCCAGGCGACTCGCACGTACAGTTCCAGGGTGTCTATCTGGTCCCTGACGAAACCCGTGACATTAGACGATCCTGCCAGTAGAAGGGCGCATGCTTGTCCTTTTTTACATCGTTCCGGGATGTACATCCCGTCCACGCAGTAGGACTCCTCGCAATAATGAGTTCCCGTTTCAGGTGACCTCGTCAGGTTCCTCAGGCTAGACAGGACCTTCCCGTCCACGTCGAAGCGGATAGCTGTGTCTCTTTTTGTAAAGGACAGCCAGGTGTCGTCAGATCTACTCAGTTTCTCTGGAATGAACCAGCCAAAGTGTCCTGGGGGAGCTATGGAGCCGCACTCGTGGACGTCGTATTGGTTCAGGTATGGCATGGTGTCTTCTTCCGGTGGGATCCACACCTCCATGTTCACCATGGTGTCCGGCACTCTGATAATGGATTTCGGCTATCAGTGCTTGGATATGGGAGTCCGGAAAGGCTTAAAATATTTTCTATTTCAGGAATTAGCGAAGTTCGCGAGATGGTCGCGACTTACATCCTCTGGCCCGCGTAGGTGAAGGTGTCCGACAGCCTCGCGAAGGTTTCCTGGACGTCGAACCTGTCGTCCTTCTCCACGAGGACCACTCCTGGGTAGCCTAGGACCTCCGTCAGGAATATCTTCATGATCCTGGAGACCAGTCTCTGGGTGGCTCTTTGGGTGACCTCGAACTTGATGTTCAGCGACTGCCCGTCCAGGTGCACCGCCCTCTTGGGGTTCACCTCTGAACAGAGCCATTCATTTTTCTTGAGGCTTTCCAACGATCCCCTATTTTTTTTTTTTAATTTCCTGGGAACCCAGGAAATTGATAGATGATAATATTAAAAAATTATACCTTCGAGCATGGTCAAACACTCGTTCGCGTCCGCGAACTTCAGGATCGTCGCGACGATCAGCAGGCCGAGTATGGATCCAGGTCGCCGCATCTTGACTTTACCTGTAAGAAAAAAAAAAAAAATCAATGATTTATTTCATTTATTTCGTTTATTTCATTATTTTCGCTTATTTCATTATTTTCATTTATTTCGTTTATTTCATTGTTTTCATTTATTTCGTTAATTTCATTATTTTCATTTATATTTCATTATTTTCATTTATTTCGTTAATTTAATTATTTTCATTTATTTCGTTTATTTCATTAATTTCAGTAATTGCATTATTTTCATTTATTTCGTTTATTTCATTAATTTCAGTAATTGCATTATTTTCATTTATTTCGTTTACTTCATTAATTTCAGTCATTGCATTATTTTCATTTATTTCATTAATTTCATTTGTCGCTTATACGTGTTCATTACAGAATATTCATGCGACAGGGCTTTGGTGGCATTTTTTCATGAGGAGGGGAATTAAGGCACCCCAAAAATAATTTAAGGATATTCGCGGAATCTTTCCTCGAATCGGCGGATAACTAAAGGGCGGACATAAAAGTGGAGCAATTGGCGACCCGGGGTGCCGATACTTCCGAGGGTGGGTTAAATTGGCTCCCAGAATAAATTCTAATTGGACGAATTATCCGGTCCCTCCGTGTGATCGATGTATGTATATAGCGTGCCCTTTATTCCCTATGATCTCGCAATTTCGCGGCCACGGGAAGAATCGGCGTCGGTAATTGCGGTGAGTGCATCGACTCCAAGTGATACTCTTTTGCTTTTTTGCCCGATCGATTCAGTCCTCGATCGTTCCTTGCATATCGCCCCCTCAATTTACCGCAATCAGACCGTCTGCAAGAGCACTCTTGTCATTCGTACCTTCACTCCCTGCGAATTTGCCGACCTTCGTTTCGAAACCACTGTTGAGTACCCTGAACAAAAAGAGACACTCGAGGACCGCCAAAAAATATATATANTTTTTTTCTAAAGCCATGAACACGATTCTTCTAATTAACCGAGAAAAAAAATTTCGAGATGCCCTACAAGCGTTTAAAACAATTTTAGAATCACGAGTATGGGTTTTATCTTTAAGTTGGCCTGAAAAAAAAAAGTTTCTCGAGAATTGTTGAAATTTTACGATTTAAATGACGAGCAGAATAGCTCCGATTTAATCAAACCGCGTATAATTGAGGAGTACCTTGTCACTATTTAATGGAAACTGAAATTCCCTCGACCTGAAACGTCAATTTCTCTTGCAGATGATGATCACCGAAATACGACACGTGGGTGTGGCGAGTCATCAAAATTCCACGGATGTTGGGGAGGGTATTTAAATGCGCGCCGAAAAGGGTGAGCCTTCCTCGGCGTGATAAAGATTCTAGCTTACGACTCCCCTGAAGAGAGAAGAGAACGGGTTGATCGAAGGAGAAGCGCCTCGCGAAAAGGGGACCGAGGAAATCCGCCGCCATCTTGGATCCCGCAAGAAGAAGAGGAGAATTGTGCCCATAATTATGAAAGTGGTCTAAGTCAAAATTGAAAAAAAAATCAGTTTATCAGTTATTTCACGCCACATTATTTCAAACTAAATTAATTCAATGTAATTTCGAAACAAAAAATATATGACTTAGACCACTTTCATAATTATGGGCACAATTAACCGAGAGAAGTTTTCTCTCGGTTAATTCTCCTCTCCTTCTTGCGGGATCCAAGATGGCGGCGGTGAGCCTTCCTCGGCGTGATAAAGATTCGAGCCTACGACTCCCCTGAAGAGAGAAGAGAACGGGTTGATCGAAGGAAAAGCGCCTCGCGAAAAGGGGACCGAGGAAAACCGCCGCCATCTTGGATCCCGCAAGGAGAGGAGAATTAACCGAGAGAAGTTTTCTCTCATCCTGCAGGACCACGGCTCGTTAATTTCCCTCATAACCGCCGCTTCGAGGATGTCAACCGCAACTCTGAACTTCCAAGGAATTCGGACCTCGGGAGTGCATATAATGCATATGCAAGTACCCGCCGGAGTTGCGAGACTGCGAGGCGCCGTGGACCCAGCTTCACTTGATTTACAACTGCAGGCTCTCTTAATCTTTCTCCCTTTTTCTTTCATCTTGGATCCACCTCGACGTTTTTCGGAGGATACGTCATCAAGCTCGTTTACACCGAGACGAGGGAGATTAATTCCCGACGCGCGAGTAATTTAAGAGTTAAGTTAAATTAGAAATCATTAAGATGTAAAAGTCCTGATCGCGAAGGACAAAGCCCTGAAGGAAATGAATACTTTATGAAGCTTTTAAAAGCATTCATGAAATCGGGGGTGCTGAGTCGCTTGAATTGTTACCTTTCGCACGTACGAAATTGTGTATAAAAATTGTTTACTCAAAGATTTTTCTCATGAAGCTCGTTTACACCGAGACGAGGGAGATTAATTCCCGACGCGTGAGTAATTTAAGAGTTAAGTTAAATTAGAAATCATTAAGATGTAAAAGTCCTGATCACGAAGGACAAAGCCCTGAAGGAAATTAATACCATATGAAGTTTTTAGGCATTCATGAAATCGGGGGTGCCGAGTCGCTCGAATTGCTACCTTTCGCTCGTACGCAATCGTGTATAAAAATTGTTTACTCAAATATTTTTCTTACGAATTCTCTTGAGTGTCGGAACCTCCCTCTGGGTCTGTATATCCACGCGGCGAAGTTTTAAACGATTTGGCGCCCTCAGTTTGGAGAAAAGTTTCACGAATGATAAGCCTCTCTCGCGTCGCCTTAATGCGCAATATTTCTAAATAGAGAATTTCTGGAAAAATGTGAAGAGAAGGAAGGATAATAGTCTTTGTAAGGTCGTCCACGTCAAGGGCGAGACGTGGCTCGAAGAACGTCGGCTTCAACGTCGCTTTTTATGGGGAACTTCGGGCCATTTTCGGGGAACTCCGTCGGAGGAGACGGGAGATAACGGCGTAGAATTCTTAGGAACGGAGATCGACGGACACGGGGAGATATCTCAGGAGATATCCACCGTGAGTTCGTAATATCGTTCGGCCCTTAAATACCCTTGGACGGATGAAATTGGCAAGTGAAGTAGACTAGAAGCGATCTTCAGGACGGGGTAAGACCCGACATCGCGGAAACGCCGTTCGAGGCGACGACGGATTTATTCTCGACGTCGTTGTCGATGGTCGAGGTCAAGAATTGGGTCGCCAATGTCGAGACTGAAGAGTCTCGGAGACGAGTCAGGCGATCCTGGATAACGATAATCCTGGATAAACGTCGCGCTTTGCCTCTCACTTGGCCGGAAAAAAAAAAGAAAAAAAAAACGATTCGGCGTGAAGTCCACGTGGCAAATCCCGTCAGACTTCACAACGTGAGCATTAAGGCAATAAGGCAATAAGGAAGGTCTCGACACCCATGAAACTGAAATTAAAAAATTTTTTCTTATACATGTTCATAGAATTTTTCATTAAAAAATGAAACTTTCTTGAGTGTCGGGACCTTCCTTATAGCCTCTGTATTCACGTGGTAAAGTTTGAAACGATTCGGTGTACCCAGTTCGGAAAAAAGTGTCACGAAAGAGACCTTTGACGGCGCTTTCGCCCCGCCTTAGTATCGGTTAAGTTCAGCTAACCTCGGTTAACGTCGCGTCAATTAGGCGGTCGAAAATCGACGCTCGTTAGCCGCGTAGAACAACGACGTCGACGTCGACGTCGACGGAGGTGGAGGCGACCCTTGTTTACAAGGGGCGACGGTTGACGACGAAGATGCAGGCCGGCCGCGACGAGCGACCGGCTATTCTTAACGTCGTCGTCCCGCAGTCCGTTGCGACATCGCCTTGACGTTTCAGTCGGCACGAAACGGCGCCAATCGTGGATTAACGTCGTTCGCCGACGTCGCAGTTTTTCCGCATGAAAGAAAGGAACTCTCGACCGATGGCTTCCAATTTTACCGAATTATTTCAATGATGAGAATGTAGAGAAAAAAAAAAAAATTTTTTTCATGTCCGACGAACAGAACAATCGTAATCATATCAGCCGTCACCTACTTATTTTTCACGTGTGTGTCTTTCGAACGCTGTAAAGTCGATTTCAATCTATATTTTTGTTTAAAAAAATTCCAAGTGACTGTATAAATGTTAATAAATATACTGTGGTATTTATATAAGATAGGGTATTTTCATGGTTCGTTAGGAAAAGTTCACGAGAAAAGCGAGAAGAAATACAGTCGTCACACGGTACGACTGCCTTAAGGTGAAGTGAAACCCCCTTCAAATCAGTCGATTCGAATACAACACTTTTTTTTAAGGGTAAAAGACCAAACTGTCCGAAACTTCGACACATCGCTCCTGATCATCTAAAAATTGTCCTGACACATTGCAAATTTGGATTTTTTAAACAAATTTTGTAACGCAGCCCAGACCAGAACCAAAATGGCGTCGAGCTCTCTTATTTCGATCGATATACAATTATTGAAGGCTCTGATATGAGAATCGAAAGGGTCAGGACAATTTTACGAGAATTTAGAACACTCTGGTAATCGATGAACTTGCATTTGAACGGGATAAAGGCAAAAAAAGTGTTGTATGCGCTTCTATGCCAAAACGATGGTAATACGAGGTCTCGGAGTGAAAATTTAATTGACCTGGAAATCATAGATGGCGCAGGGGGTCCCTCTGCAGTCAATTAGGGCCCCAGAAAGCATGAATCCAGAGGATTTCTGGAGTTTTACTTCGATTTCTTGATATTTATTGTACGAAAACGACAGATGGAGTATGCCATTTGGTACAATATCCAATATAATTCGACATGGCTGTCGATATAAAAATGAAAGTCGCCAACGTAGGCATTTAGAAAAATCTTCTTTATCGACGTCGATCAAGTTCCTCGACGTGTTTCACTTCACCTTAAGGGACGAGAGAAATTCTGAAGGCCTCTCGAGGGACGCCCAGGGGAGGCGCCGCGACGTCGGGCGCGACGCGACCTTGCCGTTTAACGAAACGGATCGACATGGATTCCCAAGGCGAATCGACGCCTAGAAGGGGGAAACGTTTTCGCACGGTGGCGAGTGGGCGACGCCGGCGTCGG